CCATCCTCGACGAATTGTTGTCTCGAAATTTCCAGCCATGGTCGTCATTCAAAAAAGAACGAACCCAGATTTGTGCTTGCGAAATTGGGGCTTTTGATTTCAAGTATTTCCGCCTCCAATTGATGATACCTACAGCTTCCTGGACCCCTTTGCAATGATTCCACATCATCAATTAGGTTCAGATCGCACCTGACCCCTCCAGCCAATAATCCCGAATTACCCTCTTGTTTGGGTGTTCCCAGAGCCAATTCTGCTCGAAGTCGATCCGACAATTAGGATTGAATCGATGCAAATTGATCCACGTGAGAGCTTCTTGATGATCCATGGAAGCTGTTTTCACTGTTGCATTGGATCGAGTTGCCCCACAACTCTCCACCCCATTCACCCTCTCTCTTCCCCTGTCTCACTGTCAACAGCAAACAGGGTCGCCATCGTTATGGAATGGAATGCGGTTCTCGACGAAGAGTTGTGAGCACTAGCTTTCACGCCACTAGACTTACTTACTTCCCTCTCAAGCTAATGGATTCTCCTTCACCTTTAGCTCTATTCGAAACCAGCTGTCTCTGATCATCTCAAACCTCTGCCGGCGATAGCGGTTGCAGCCATGATCGTTCAACCAATGGAGGTAGTATGGTTCCTGGTGCTTTAGTGTGCTCATTCCAAGCTTCCTCACCGTCTCCAAGCTTACCACGTTGGTACAACTTCCTCTGTCAATCACCATAGACGCCATCTTCCCTTGAATTAAACAACGAGTGTGAAACAGGTTATCTCGCTGTTGAGTCTCGCAAATGGCCACTACTTTATATTTCATTAAGCCACATTATTGGGGAAACAAAATGGGAACCCGTTTGAATCCCAACCTCAGTCAATCACTAAAAATCTGAAAGGAAACTAATGGAGAACCCTAGTACTCCTCTATTGTCATCCCACCTCCTAATTGCCAGTGCTGCATCTTTGTGAGGTCGCAACGGTGACCTAGCATGCAAAAGCCTCTCTTTTCATCCAGCTGCAAATGCTTGCATCTCCTCTGTCCACCTTCACTCATTTCTTTACATAGTTTTGCTTCCAAAAACTGTAAGCCGAGAACTTCTTCAGGCGTGAAGATCCAAAAACCTCCTATTAGGTCTTCAAATCCGAGAATTGCCTCCATTCATCTCATGTTCTGCAGATTGTAGATCTCCTACTCTTGTTTGTATAACGGGGAGTAATATGCAATTCGTTGGGCATTCTTGCGCCCCTATTTTCTCTTTGTTGTTCAAAATAATGGTTTTATTTTTGCTATTTTCTAATTGTTCCAAAGTCTTAGAAGTTGAATGAATCAAATTACGAGTTGAACTTGATTTTGGCTCGTTAAACTCATTCGAAGAGCCGAACTCGAGTCGAGTTTGAACTTGTATATTAAAGATCGTGACGAACTCGAACCGAGCTCGAGCTTGTAAGTATGTAAATGAACTGAGTCCGAACCACAACAAAACTTGATTCGGCTCGGAAAATTAACAGCCATAACTGCGGATTATGCAAAGAAAAACAAAATAAAACAAAAGAAAGAAAAAATGAGTCAAATATATATGGTATGATACTCAACTGTTAAAAACAAAGAACCACAAACAGCAAGTAAATCTGCAGAATTCAGAACTTGTGCGCAAGATTTTTGGGGGCTGAATTCTTGATCTTCATTGACTCATAGACCAAGCCTTTTATAGGCAAGTAAACCTTATAACGTTACTCCTAGGACTCGAAATAATTTACAACCCATGATTCAACTTCACTAACCCACAAACGGCTAACAAACTCTAGTGGGCTAACTCTGCTAACAGACTGCCTGGAAAACAGGAACTGACTCTAAAGACTAACATAACGAATATCCAACAATCCCTCCCTTAAACTGATGTTTGCCAACGGCAGTTTATGGTTAGGGTTTTACAATCATTCCCAACATTCCTCTGAGGTTCTCAAACATTCTAATCTTCAAAGCTTTGGTGAACATATCTGCAACTTGATCTTCACTTCTACAGTATTCCAAACCAATTTGTCCTTCCTTACACAAATCCCTCAGAAAGTGATACTTGACGTCAATGTGATTACCTCTCCCATGTAGAACTGGGTTCTTGGACAGCTTGATTGTGGAATGATTGTCACACCAAATTGTGATAGCCTCTTCTTGCTTGTTCTGCAACTCTTCTAGCGACCTTCTCATCCAAACAGCTTGACAAACACAAGCTGTAGCAGCAATAAAGCAACAAGTTTAGCTTCAGTGCTTGATAACGTAACTATTGGTTGCTTCTTTGAAGACCAAGCTACAGCTCCTGATCCCATTATGAAAACATAGCCCGAAGTGCTCTTCCTATCATCCATATCTCCTGCAAAATCACTATCTGTGAAAGCCAACAGAGGTGTATTGCCTTCTTTCTTGTAGAACATTCCTAGACTTCTTGTTCCATGCAAATAATGAAGAATTCTTTTTGGCTGCCAGCAAATGCAACTCTGTAGGATTCTCCATGTACTTGCTAATCAAACTCACAACATACATAATGTCAGGTCTTGTGGCAGTCAAATACATAAGACTTTCCACAATTTGCTTGTACATAGTGCTGTCAACAAGCTTTCCTCCTTGATCCTTGTGTAGCTTCAACCCAGCTACTGCAGGTGTAGCTGCTGGATTGCTTTGATGCATCTGAAACCTCTCAAAGACTTCACCCACATACTTCTTCTGACAGAGGAAAATTCCAGCTTCTGTTTGTGCTACTTCTATGCCTAAAAAGCAATGCATCAAACCCAAGTCTATCATCTCAAACTCTGAATTCATAGACTTCTTAAACTCATCAAACATGACAGCACAATTTCCAGTGAAGATCAGATCATCCACATACAAACAAGCAACCAACATTCTGCCCTCTTATACTTTAACAAAAAAAGTATGCTCATAAGGACACTTAGAGAACCCAGACTTGAGAAAATAGGACTCAATCCTACTGTACCATGCTCTTGGTGCTTGCTTTAATCCATAAAGACTTTTTTCAACTTATAAACTTTGTGTTCACTACCATGTTTGACAAAACTAGGGGGTTGCTCAATAAATACCTCTTCTTCTAGGTAGCCATTCAAAAAGGCTTACTTGACATCCATTTGATGAATTGGCCAAGAATTCTTACTAGACAAGGGTAACCCATAATTGGGTTTCATTGTTAGGTTTTGAAAATAATTGGAGATAGAAATAATATTTTACTATTATATTTTGATGGCAAAATTCACTTGCATAGCCATAACTATACACTTTTTGACAATAATAGCCACTTTTTGAAAAGTACACTAAAATAGCCACATTTTTTAAACTTGTTTAACAAATTTAGCCATTTCCGTCAAATACTTGAACGGTGTTAATGGCCTCCATCAATTAAGTTGATGTGGATGCCATCTGGACGACACATCATGTCCACCTAGATCCACCATGCCACATAGACACCACATCAGCGCCAAATCATCATTTAAATGCCACATCATATTTGAATACAATAAAATAATTAATATTTTTTCCAAAGAATATGGAAAATCTCTCGTTCTCTTCCTTTTCCTCTTCCTTTCTTCTCCCTCTCTCTCTCATCTATGAAACAACCATCTCCATTTGTTTCAGAAAATCCAGAAGTTGTTCATCCATCAACTCCGCTAGACTTCCTTTCACTCCCTTCCTATTTTTTCTTTAATTATGAAATACAATAGCAGCAATAATTCTAAGACAACAACCCAATCATGGTTCCTCCTGTACCCTTTGCTGCAATTTTCTTCCCTTTTTTTTTTGTCTCACTAAAAAAAACCCTCCATCCTCAGATCTATGAAGTTTTCCCATTCTGCAGATCAATGAATAACTCCGGTTGAATTTTTTATTTGGGGACAGGGGAGTTGAAGATTGGTATAGGAGAGGTCTAATCTAGCCTCTTTTCATTAGCAGGAGCTTGGTGGTTGTGTGCGATTTTGACCGGATCTGAAATAGGAGAGTAGCGGCGATGAAAACTGAAGTCGAGCAGCTCTGGTATGGAGGGGAGGCAGCAGAGAGTCTAAGGTAAAAACGGCGTGCGGCGGAGATGAGGGTTGTGTCATGCGCTTGGATGTCTTGGCGTGCGGCGGAGATGAGGTAAAAACCACTGCTGTCACTTGCTTCCGCTACTGGAATTCAGAATCGCAATGAAGGTAGCGGCGATGGTGGATAGTTTGCGGGGGAGGACGCTGAGGCAGTGGACATTGGAGATGGTGGAGGAAGATAGGCGAAGGGATTTGGGATTTTTTTTTTCACGGTAGAGGGTTTCACTATAAATAATTTGTTTTTCTTTTATTTATTTTTTGTTTTTTTCAATTAATTATAAATAAGAAAAGCATTTTCCACCTGTCACGGTTTTTTACGAAAGATGCCAAATCAGCAAAAAATCGTTAGTCTAATAAGCAATTATGATAATTCTGTTAAAGTTATAGACGGAGTGGCTATTTTAGTGTATTTTTCAAAAAGTTGCTATTGGGATAATTGCATGGTTGGTCACTAAGATGACAAAAAACGTTCATGTTTGGTCACTGAAAATATTTAAATCCAATCTTGGTCACTCAAATTAGTTAAATAGTTCATGTTTGGTCACTCTCCGTCCAACTCCCTTAAATTTGTCTGATGTGGCAGTCAACCTTCAAAGTTGACCGTTAACTCAGTGACGTGGCAATTAAAAAATAATAAATAAAATCAATTTTAATCTTCTACCATTTCCAACTCATTTTCACATTAAAGTAAAATAAATAAAACAAAAAAATATTATAATTACAAATCGAAAATGGGCACTTCCTCGCCACTACATCCCTTCCCCGCAACCAAACCAGATCCCAATTCCCATCCCTAGCTCCGTCCGCTATCGCCGTCCGCGGCAATAATTACCTACACCTCCTCCACCCTCGACTCCGCCCCTTCCTCCAACTCCGTCAACACGCAGTAGGTGGAGACGCACAGCCGACCCCAACGACGCGCAGTAGGGGGAGAGAGCAATAATGATGAAATGGAGATGCAGATCTCGTCGGAGCAAGTTAGTGATGCTGCTTCTACGCCGTCTGAAACCCAGCAACCGGTTGCTATGTCTTGGAATGATAATGGCGGCCTTGCCGATTCTGTTCAGAGCTATCCGCAAACCCTTGGCGTCGATGGTGGTGAGCATTCTAATTCTAACCCGGTGTGCCACTCTGGTAGAAGATTCGTCGATGGTGGGAATTTGATGATGCTCGACGACACTCTGCCACCACCGTCGTTTACTAATAGTTAGGGGATTCATTTTCAGAATTGCAGCGACCGTGTTTTTGGAATGTATCCAAACGTGTCTCCCCTTCATGAAGCACTCTCGTTTGGTGTATGGGTTTCTCAATACAATTGATTAATGATGATTAAGTGTTCGTAATGGTATTCTCCGCCAAGTGCGCGTCGTTGGGGTCGGCTGCTCGTCTCCGTCTACTGCGCGTTGACGGAGTTGGAGGAAGGGGTGGGGTCGAGGGTGGTGGAGGTGCAGGTGATTATGGTCGGGGAGCGGCAAGTACGGCGGCAGCAGGCAGAGCTAGGGATGGGAATTAGGAGCTGATTTGGTTGCGGTGGATGAATGTAGTGGCGGAGCAAGAGCCCCTTTTCAATTTGTAATTATAATATTTTTTAATTATTTTACTTTATTGTGAAAATGAGTTGGAAATGGTAGCAGATTAAACTTTATTTTATTTATTATTTTTTAATTGCCACGTCACTGAGTTAACGGTCAACTTTGAGGGTTGACTGCCACATCAGACAAATTTAACGAAGTTGGACGGAGAGTGACCAAACTTGAACCATTTAACTAATTTGAGTAACCAAGATTGAATTTAAATATTTACAGTGACCAAACATGAACGTTTTTTGTAATCTTAGTGACCAACCATGCAATTAACCCAGTGGCTATTATTGTCACAAAACTGATAGTTATGACTATGTAGGTGTATTTTGCCTATTTTGATTTAACACATTACAAATAATGAGTTGTAGTCTAATTGAAAATATATCTACAAATAGTAGTACTGTCCCAAATTCACACACATACACCACTTAAATATTATATTTACCCAAAGTGGGTTGAATAATCATTTTTTTTTTTAAATTTGAAGGGTATCTTGCTACCACTTAAAGATTTGTTTACTTATACCGAAAAATTCATGGATCCGCCACTGCCCGTGGGTACCAATGACAATGAGCAGGATTTGGAAAAATCCTCCATAACTAAACAACAATGCACTTTTGTTTTCATTGAATCAATACATGATTAACTTTTGTAAAAAAAAATGCACATTGTTTTCTACCAAAAAAATCAATGCACTTTTGTCTCAAACTCAAAAAGTTGCTTAATATTTGGAATCAAATAGCTAGATCACACCCAACTACAACTCCACAAATAGTACTGTTTATTCATATTGTAAACACCAAACTAGTCTATTTAGCACACTTATTATTTTCCTTATCATAAACAATGCTGTAATTGAAGCTATTAATGTTCCTGAAATAACACATCTTAGTATTGTCTTCGACAGTCTGGTAGTGATATGATTGATTCATAGCACCCAAGACGCTAAAGAACGAATAGTTCTTGAAAATCACAACCCCGCTGCCACTCTGTTGATCTTTCATGCTATTCACCATCGTAGATTTGAAGTGAGGACTTTCATGTGTCTTCTCGTTACCGTAATCTATCTCAATTTTTACTTTGTCTAAGATATCTGCTTTCATCCGTTTTTGCTCTTCCTTGTTCCTCAGCCTAAAGGTCTTCACTGACTCAAAGGAGTAGAAGTCATTAGCAGCAGAATCATTTACGAAAGAAACACTGTCATTTGAAAGAACCAACTGTTGTAACGTGGAACTGAAGTAATCATCCTCATTTTTACTGTCCATGTAGTTAGCATATGACAAGTTTTGGCTAACACGAGTGGTGATGTTACCATGTGATGATTGTAACCATCCTTGTGAAGATAAAACCCTTCGTGCTTCGACCCACGATTTCCCAGCGAGTGGCACCTTCATCTTGAGCTTCGATGATAGATCGAGTGGCTGGCTATAGCTCGACACGAATTTTCCCTTTGTCCTGCTGCTTCTGTGATCCAACCAAAGGTGCAGGTTCGCGTCGATGTACCATACATTTCCTGCATTCCCTATGGCAAAGCTCAAATTGTGGATCCTTTCGTCGAGTAGAGCCCCCAAGAATGGTGTTAATTCGATGTCGTACGAAGGGAAATTGAAGTTGCTTATGCTGACTACCGGATTCCAGATATCATTCCCTGCACCATAGATGATAGGGTAAGGCCAGATAGCGCCTACTACAATTTTATCATCCAGGGTGATCACCACGTCTCTGAAAGGCCCATTTCGAACCTCGTCCTGCAATTGGTTGAAATAGTAGAACTCGGATTGAAATTGCGAGAACCAAGATCAGTCGTCGTGGTGGGCTGACACATAAACCTCTAGCACAGCTTTGCAAGCATTTTGAGGAATCCTGAATCCCCTGCGCTTCAGGTCAGTAGAGTTCTCAATTTGAAACCACAATCCATCGTCTTTTGACTCGAGATTTTGGGAAATGGGTAGTATTAAATCCGCCTTGGACTCGATCTTGTACCATCTGTTAACTGTGTCAGGATCATGCCCATGTAGTACTGCACTACTTGACTTGTGCTCAAGAGGGTAAAAGGAGATGCTAATTGCGATGTGATAAACTTCGATGAAGTCCTTACCGAGATTAGTACTAGTTTGAAAGAAGACAACGAGCTTCTGCTTCTCTTTCTTGAGAAGCAAGGAAGAGTACCTTGTGATATCCTTCTGTGATGCCCAAGTTATCGACGTGTTGAACCCTTGAGCAGAGGAGCTCCTGAGGAGCTCGACTCCTCCCAACCAAACTCCAAATACCCCATCGTCCTGTGCTCCGCTGAAACTGCCCTTCGATTCCAAGACAATCTTGGAGAAATCGTTGGAACGACAGGTGGAAGGAGGGCCTTTGTATTCCGTTGCAACTTGGGGGGTTTTCGGCGGTAGAGCTGAATTCGTGTTGGAGGAGGAGCTTCTTGCAAGGCACGGTATTGGGGACATGGATGGGTTTGGTCACTTGGAAAAGAGTGTTTGGTTTTGCTGACTGCTGCTTCAATGATGATTTGTGGAAGAACCCTTTTGGTCTTTTGAGGTTTGGGCTGGCATTAATGGAGTTGAAAGGGCACAGGATGAGTAACAACAAGAAGGAGAAGAAGAGGTGTGGTGAAGAGAGGGGAAACCAAGTCATCGTTCCAATGAAGAAATATTGCTATTTGAGTCCTTTTTGTGTGGAGTTTAAGCCATCTTCGAGGCTTCTTTTATAGCGCCAGAAACAGCTGGAGTACCCCGCGTCCCCGCCGGCCGAATGGATCAACACAATGGCACATTGAGTCGTCCCCGAGCTACATCATAAGGTCGGCCGTTATTTCTTGACCATTTAATTAATGAAATACGACAATGCTACATTATTCAATTCTCACCAATGTTTACCTACATTGTTTTTTGAAAGCTTTTATGTATCTAACAATAGTTGTTTTACCGTCAATTATCTAATTATTAAAACCCCAAGCAACAATCACGGTAGCTTACGAAAACATTCACCATGTCCTCACTTTATATTACAAAATGATTTTGCAATGTTAATTAATTTTTACATAACAGTTTGATCAAATGTAATACTTTTGATAACTTGATTTTATTTTATTGGTAGACCACACATTATGAAGATTTACATCACAACGTTCTATAATAGTTATGTAAATAAAAAAACAAAGGGTTAATATTTTTGTATGGCCTGAACTTTGACCAAAATAAACATTCTGGCCAATCTTTTTGATCTATAACATCTTGGCCCGAACTATACATCAAAATAAACAATTTGGCCAGATCCGACTTTTGACCGTTAACTTGGAGGGTCAAACGCGTTGACTAACGATCAACGCGCCATGTCACTGCCAACTCAACAAATTTCAATTAATTTTTTTTTAATTTACACCTATTTCCATTTTCTTTACTTTATCATTTTGAAAGAAAAAAAATAAAACAAAATTTCAATTCAAAATGATAATTTGTTTTATTTTTTGTCCCGAAATTGAAAAGGAAAGGAACGAAAATTTTTAAACTAAAAAAAAATGTTTTTAAAACGATAAAAAAAATTCCCCGAAAATTTGAAAAAAAATTTCCGTGCAAAATGATAAAGGAAAGAAACGGAAATAGGTGTAAATTAATTTTTTTTTTAAATTTGCTGAGTTGGCAGTGACATGGCGCGTTGACCGTTAGTCAACGCGTTTGACCGTCCAAGTTAACGGTCAAAAGTCGGATCTGCCCAAATTGTTTATTTTTATGTATAGTTCGGGCCAAAATGTTATATATCGAAAAGATTGGCCATGATGTTTTTTATTTTTGTCAAAGTTCAGGCCATACAAAAATATTAACCCAAAAACAAATTATGTATAACTTATGGAGTGATAGTAATTTTTATGCATCACTTGAACAAACTTATGGTGAAGTGATTCATACATTAAGTAAAGTTTATGGATATATCTTACCCGATTTTTATAAATTAATTGATTTCAAATAAGATTATTAAAAAGTATATAATTATTTTTTTACTGTTGCGAAGCGCGGGCCAAAAAGCTAGTATTTGTAAAAAGTGAAATCCACGGTCTGAGATGGACTATGCGAATTCAGTTAGGATTTTTTTCTTTCCGAGAAGTGTTACGAAAGAAATATTAATTCGACAAAACACCTCACCCCTACGAAAACCAACTGGACGTATTACAACAACTAGTTTTTTAACCCACGCTTCGTGACGATAAGAAAATATATTTAAAATTCATATTTAATTGAAATAAAATAATTTAGGCAAAATACAGTTCCATAGCCAAAACTTTCACGTTTGTGCCAATAATAGCCACATTTGGCGAAATACCACTTATAGCCAAGTCCGTCCAATTCTTTAACGCTGTTACGTGGACCGCCACAGATTTCCACGTGGACAATAATTAAAAAAATTACAAAATCAGAAATTACTAATTTTTACCCACCTACCTTTTTGTTCTCTCAATCCTCTTTCCTTATCCTCTTCATCTAAACCCTCTGAATCCCACCGACGAAGGCGGCGACCACGAAGGCGACGAAGGAGAGGATCTTCCTCCGACGACCCCCCCCCCTCCGACGAACCCCGTACCACCACTATTCCTTCCTCCACCAGCAATATACATCCATCCTCCAGTCTCGATTTTCCTCCATCGATCGAGTTGAACCTACCGCCTCCTTCCTTGCGAAACACATACAGAGGATGGGTTAACTAACCGACGCCGAGCTTTGGCTGAGTCCTTCGAAGCTTCTTCTCTTCTGTATGCTTTGGAGGAATCTCGGAATCCACCGACGCGATTCTACTGTGAAATCCTAATTTCACTTTAAAGCTCGATTTATGCCCTCCCTCGTCAGTCGCGACTGGACATGAGGAAGCTGCTCGCCTGGACATGCCTGCAGCTCGCTTGAACTGCTGGGCAGGAGAAATCGCGGAAGGAGAGGGTTGCGTCGTTGCGAGTCGGCAGAGTGTGGGATTTGTGGGAAGAACCCTAATTCCGAAATCGGAATCAATCAGAAGGGAGTAGAGGATTCGTGGAGAGTGGAAGTTTGGGGAAGAATCCTAATTCTCAAATCGGAAGAGGATTCGTGAGAGGAGAGGAAAACTGGGGACAAACCCTAATTTTTAAATCTGGCCAAAGTTGGGGGGCTGAAGGATTTGCTTCGATGCAAATGGGAATATATGGTACAATTTTTTTTAATAATGTAATATATGACGTGTCCATAATTGCTTAGTTGGCGCTGATGTGTTCGATTTCTTCTCGCCTAATCAGTAAACCATCTACTAATTTGACGGTGTTACTAACACTGTCAATGTTTATAACGGAAAAGGCTATATTTGTCCAACAACATTTTCAAAAGGTGGCTATAAGTGGTATTTCGCCAAATGTGGCTATTATTGGCACAAACATGAAAGTTTTGGCTATACAAGTGTATTTTGCCAAGAATTTATAAAATAGTTTGGATAAATTTCTTTTATAAGCTTGACGTAACATATTAATTATTACAGTAGACTTACGTACTATGTTTGTTTAATTGATACATAATTATTTATTTATATGTTTTAGTAATAAAACTTACCCAAATCCACATCTTACCTGTACTTCAGTTCCAATTAGCAATTGTTGGTATAAACACACCTCTAGTTTCTAGCTTGACAATATTAACATATTACCATAGTTATAAGAACCGAGCTGGATCAATGATTGGGCCAGAAGAGCCACTAAAGCAGTAATAATAGTGTATGGTTCATTTGATTGAACGGTTAGCGATAGAACCAATAGTTTTTACGGTTTGACATGAAAACAATTGAATCGACCCGGTTTGACTGGTCCACTGGTTCAAAATTTTAACAACAAAAATTAAGAAAAAAAATACTTGAACGTAAACTAAGATCACTCAGTCTCAATCACTAATTTTAATTATGCTTCCTTTTCTTCATTTTGCAGTCTCCTTGACAGGTTTATGTTGTCCACTACGGATTGCCACCTTTTTTATTAACTTAAATTTAATTAAAAAATTTTGATTTCTTTTGCGGGATTGTTTGATACTTTGTTAGACAATTTGATGATAGATGATATGAATTGGTTTTGATTGATACATAAAAATCATTATTATTTATAAGTTTTAGTAATTTATTTTTAATTTCCATAATTTTTAAAGAATGTTTTTACGTAAATGTTGCTTAATTTATGGTCCAATAATAAAAATAAGTTATAAATAAGTCTCACATTTTATTAAACTATTATATAAAATTAACTTATCTTATAGAACTTTTATGTGATGCAAAATTGATGGGATTGTGAATATTGTAGGCATAATAAAGGGATTTTATTAAACAATAGGTGAAATAAGTTACGAAAAGTACCACAAATGATTAAATTGTTATGTAAAAGTAACATATATTAGAAAAAAATTATAATGCAAATTGATAAGATAGTCACCAGTTTAGTTAATTAAAATTGTAGAATTTTTATTCAAACTTATACTATGAAATATTTACATATTATGTTTATTTAATTGATACACAAAAAATTAACATCCTTCATAAGGTTTACGTAGTGTCTGCATCATTACTGAAGACCTGTGTAATACGCTATATTTAATTTATACATAAGGAATATAACTATATAAGTAATCCAGAGTAAGATTCATGTAATGTATTTTCAATTTACATAATTGTAATAGAATTGTGTTACGGATCGAGAGGAGGGGAAGAATGGGGCAAACTCGTGGGTTCGATTCCCGCTGGATGCGTTTGGAACGTTCAGTTGAATCGCTTCTCACAGAAACATTCCGCTTTGGCTTTGGAGCAAGTGACGTGAGCTATGTTTCCATATGTATCAAACCTTTTAAAGTGAAAAGCTATAGCAGCAGACCTTAGGGTATACCCCTTTTTACTAACACTTTATTGCATTAGATGCATATATTATTTGTCAGCAAAGACGATTAGACTTCTTTTTGATAATGGCGATAGATTAAAAAACTGAAAAAACAAACAAGTCTGTACAAGCCACTGGGATCGCAAGGAGCGATCACACGAGGCCCTAAAAACCAAAAAGGAAACCAGAATTACAGCAAAGAGAAAGACCCTGGAAAACCCTTGATACAAAACAAGAATAAGGGTAACAGAATCACCTCCTACCAACTCCAACAACACCCGCGCAACCCAGAAAAGGAACCGGAAAACAAAGTGTACCCCCAAAGGCCTGGGGAAACAACAACAATCCACCCGACGCCTCCTATGCAACAATCAAAATCAACACCCAGCTAATGTCTCACGCAACCAAGTCTCGCCCTGCACGAAAGTTTAAAATCCCTGCACGGTAGATACGACCACAAAAATCCAGATACGCTGTCAAATTATTATTATATTATATAAACGTAATAATTTGTATTTTTATATCTCAAATTTAATTAAATCACAACTTAGACACTAAAATGTACATTTTTAATTTTGATAACCCAAATTTAATTTTAATGTAAAAACATTGAACAATGATGTTTTGCTATCTAAATTATATGAGATTTTTGTACCTACAATTTTTCTAAATTTACATATTGGTCCACTGTTTAGATTACATTTGAATCCGATCCACCAATCATTTTGAATCAATCCACCATCACATATTTAGTTTGTACAATACAAGATGTTGTATCACTCAAGTGTAGGAGAAGATTCGACCATTTTATGCTTGCTCATTACGTGAAATATCAAATTATTATTATTACATTTACGGGGTACTAAATAAACTTCTACTAATTGCATGTAACAAAATATGCGTCATCTATAAGCAAGTGTCAATAAATCGATACGGTGAAAATGGTTGACTGTTTTATAGACAGCCTACTAAACGAATTGGTCAAAACATTTCCATCGTCTACTTTCTTTTCGTTTCATTTTTCACTCGCCTTCCATAACCCTTTCTTTATTTCTTTCTTTGCCTTCTTTGTCTAACCCTAATTAGTATACTATTTTTATATGTTTTAATCACAAATATGAACGAGTCCATACACGACTCACCAACAGTCTAGAGAATTAATAATTGAACCATGAACCACTAACTTTGTCAACTCAGTGTCGAGTCCAATTAAAAATAAATATATATGTTTATTACTTATTAGAAAGTCGTCATTTTCCACAATTCGATTTCAAGCAGTGAAATTTTAAGCGAGTTCCGGTTTGTATTTATTTTGCTTCTCTCTAGAGTTTTTTTTTTCACCTGGCCTAGAATTTTCAACAATTATATATACATGGAATGCTTGGTTAGGTATCTACACATATCAAATAAATAATTTCTATTTTTCTATAAAAAAACAAATAATTATCATCTTAAATACATCACCATAAAAGGAATTAGCCTAAAAAATATAGTTCGATACCTAAACTTTATATATCTATAAATTTATAACCTAATATTTTTGGCATATAAGTCCTCAAAATATTGATGGAACTGTTGCTGGCATCGAGCGCGAGATGCCTGCTTCACGAAGAGCCTTCTTGGTCTTCTTTTACCTGAAACCCTAAATCGACTTTTGCCTAGATTAAGTGCAGAATGAAGCAGAACTTGAAAGAATGCTTGAAATGAAAATAGACGAAGAGTAAAATGATTCGGGTCTTTCTTTCACAGAGAATGGGCTAATTTCCTATGGCCCAGTTAGATGACCGTTGCAGCTCAGTAGTTAAACGCTGTGGATTATGTATTCCTTCTGAAGCTGTGCATTTCGGACTTCCAGACCCAACTCCTTCTTCCTGTTTCAGAAATTCACGTCCCCTGTTTGCAGAATCACTCTCACAACCTTGCAAAAACAGAGCAACTAAGAAACACAGATTAAAAGCAATAAACGAAACAATGAACACAGTCACTTTTTACGTGGTTTCCAGAGCCGGGTAAAGATGAACCCCAACTCTGACTATTCCACGGTCGGATGATCACGATGAGGTGATTTCCGACTTTCCACTAAGCTCGAAGCTCTTTATATGTTTACAATCCTACTTCAACGAAATCAATCGTCCCAATCCTGTAAGTTGATTGACTCGTCTATACTCTGATCTCAGCCAGCTATCCAGCTACAGTGTTTTAACCAACACTCCCCAACTCAAATTCTCTCCAGAATATGAATCAGCCTCTCTTTTCGTATCAATCACACTCGTTATACTCTTAGCTCTCCTTGTATGAATAATCTCCCGAAAAGTGACTATGCTTGATTCGGAGTGTGCTTTTTATGCTCCTCAGTGACTAGTCGTTGTTGCTCAAGAATGGTAAGTCTTTTCCCTTGAAATCTTTCCTGAAATGCTCGACTAATGAAATCTTCCGCTCCAAATAGATCTTCCTTCCTTGCCCAATGATTCTTTCCAAAGCTGGATCACCAAGGCCACGATCTCTTTCCTTTGTTCTGTGATTCATGACTAGCTTGCTTACAACATTCTCCCCCTAAGCCAGTTAATGATCCCCTCAGCTGCCTATGGGGTTCCTGCATACATTTAACACACGATTACGTGCAGACTGTTCTAAACAGTTTGACAGAGACAAATCACACAACATGAGAATTGAACACAGAACATGTTATTCAACTATCAGATCCGAAACTCAAACTATTGAGACACAGTCTCGAGAGACACAAAGACACGCGCTCAGTCAGAGCTTTATTGACCTTCAACACTGCAAATACTAAGACATACCTATTACGAGAGCACAAACTATCAGACTCCCCCTAAGATCAATACTTATTAATAAAACACTACCTATCAGAATCCCCCTAAGTTCAATACTCCGCTAAAAGGAAAACTTAGGCGATGGCACATAATCAGAAATTGCATCTTCATCCTCCATCATCAGATTCCTGCTGCTGCTGCTTGCTTCCTCCTGCCTGAACATGGCTTGAACAGCCTCCAAAGGATCCACCATAGGTCGTTTGCTGTTATCTCGGACCACTCCAACCAAATCTGCTGTTTCCGGTTCTTTCACTGCTTCATCCCCTCCCAACTCAGCTAGACTGAGTCCATCCTCATAAGAAGGAAAAACATGGGCAGTTATTTCTCCCCCTGGAGCATTGACCAGAGGGAGTTGATAAGCCGTTAATTGCACATGTTTTTACCCCTATTCTGGAGCCGTTTGAGATGGTAGTTCTCGTGTTTTAGGCCGATTTCACGCTAGGTTGTGTTTGTTTGTGTTATTTCAGGTCCTAGCAAGTGAATGAAGTTTTAGGAGAGAGTTCGCGATCGATTGGACGAAGATCGGGCGCGAGGCAAGTCAAAAAGGAAGCTACACGGGCACACCCACAACTCACACGGCCGTGCAAGTGACCACTTTGGCCGTGTGGGATTGTGCGAGCCTTTACACGGAAGCCCTGATTGTCAAACGGCCGTGTGAAGTTGTGGGTGTGCAAATACCGAGTCATCAGGCGTCGACGACCAACAGAATCATCGACCTTGCGCAGAATGAACTGTGCACGAAGAGAACTCAGCATGTCCACTCGAGCCACTTTGAACCTCAAGTCTATTCCTAAGGCCAACAGAATCTGAGTGATCTGTGGAGCAAAAGGAAGCTCTGCCTCATAATTATCAGTATGGTAGTTCAACATATGGTCGAACATCAAGTGAGGATAGCTTATAACCCGATTCTCCTTGGCACTAGCGAGGATCCATAAGTCCGAAGGATAAATGGTATTGAGCCCAAACGACCGAGGTAGGAAGAGTCGAGATATTTGAAAGTGCAATACTTTGAGATCATCAGGGAGTCTCCCAAAATGGAATTCGGAGGGATAATAGCGACTTGTATCACAAGTGTACAGACGCAGAGCATCTCCCTCATTGAACTCAACAGAATGAAAGTCAGACAGACTCATTCATGACTTCAGCTCCAAAGATAGGAATGCCAAACAGCAGTGACAACAGCTCCACATTAATAGTGATCAGATAATTATACACTATTGCAGTGAAACATGGTGGAGAGATGTGAAGACATGGCTTCATGTTCGCATAAAACATGCGCACAGCTTCGGGTCGAAACCCGAAGTTTCGATTTGGAAGGATGTCACCCCAGCCAATGGTGTTGATCAGGCGAGGGATATCCATCCCATACCTGTTGAACTTGGATGGATCGAGAGTGATGGAAGGATGTAGTGGACGATCTTGGAACTGAAGGAGATAACGAGCATAGCCAGCTGCGTCCTCAAACCCTTTGCCATTGAAAATAGCAGCTTGAGCCAAGCGCAAGGTAGCCACATGTTGATTGGACGCAACCATGATTAGTTTGGAAGAGTGAAGAAGTGTTAGATTGCTGAAGGAAGGGTTTTGACCCTAAGACTTTATAGAGGAATCGAAGATCATCTTAGGAAAGATAGATCCAAAATAAGGTAAGAAGAAACTTGGTCCGAAAGCTCAGAGGTTCCACGAATCATGGATATTTTGAGTAGGAAAGGTAACCCAGATTCGTGATAAGGGAGAAAATCAGGGTTGAGCAGACAATTCAACTATGTCCTTCAAGTTGAATAACCCTAGCTCTCGTCGAATACGAATGAAAGGTTTAGAGCCCAAAGGCTTTGTGAAGATATCAGCCCATTGAAAGTTAGAGGGAATAAACTCTAAGTGAATTATATTTTCTTGAACCAGCTCCCTAATGAAATGAAACCGAATCTTTATGGCTTGGTTTTAGAATGTTGAACAGGATTCTTAGACATGTTTATTGCACTCGTATTATCACATAGTACTGGTAGGGATCCAAATTCTAGGCCATAGTTAAGCAATTGATATTTCATCCATAGCAGCTGAGTGCAACAACACCCTGCTGCAATGTATTCTGCTTCTGCAGTTGAGAAGGCAACATAATTCTGTTTCTTGCTGAACCATGCCACAAGAAAAGTTCCCATAAAGTGACAGGTTCTAGAAGTGCTCTTTTGATCAACTATGCATCCTGCATAGTCTGAATCAGAGTACCCTACCAACTCTAAACTTGATTCACACGAGTACCATAACCCAAAATCAATAGTTCCTGCCAGATATCTAAAAATCCTCTTGACTGCAGACAAATGACTATCCTTAGGTGCACTTTGAAACCGAACACACACACACACACTAAATAAAATGTCAGGTCTACTAGCAGTCACGTACATAAGAGATCCAATTAGTCCCCTATACAATTTCTCATTTTCTGAATTTCCAGATTCATCTTTATCTATTTTAATTGAAGAGGCCATGGGAGTAATAGCAGTTTTTAGATTTCCAAGGTCAAAACGTTTTAGCATGTTTTGAATGTATTTGGATTGACAGATGAAGATTCCCTTAGAAGTCTGTTTTATCTGTAATCCCAGAAAGTAATTGAGCTCACCCATCAGGCTCATTTCAAAGTTAGTCTTCATAAGTTTTTCAAAATCTAGACACATTTCCTTACTTGTTCCCCCAAATATTATGTCATCGACATATACTTGGACTAACAGCAACTGTCCTGACTTATGTTTACTGAAGAGAGTTTTATCAACTGACCCTCTATGAAAACCGTTTTCTAACAGAATAGAGCTCAGTTTATCATACCAAGCTCTGGGGGCTTGTTTTAAACCATACAAAGCTTTCTTTAATCTATACACATGATTAGGGTATTTTTTATCTTCAAATCCAGGAGGCTGTGCAACATACACTTCCTCTTTTAGATCCCCATTTAGGAAGGCACTTTTGACATCCATTTGGTATAGTTCAATTCTAGAAGCACTAGCAAAAGCACACAACATCCTAACAGCTTCAAGACGAGCTACAGGGGCAAAGGTTTCATCAAAATCTATGCCCTCCTCCTGATTGTATCCTTGTGCTACCAATCTAGCCCTGTTTCTAGTTATTACCCCAATTTCATCCATTTTATTTTTGTAGATTCATTTTGTCCCGATAATCACTCTATTTTCAGGTTTTGGAACAAGTTCCCAAACATTCGCTCTCTCAAACTTATGCATTTCATCAAACATGGCAGCAGTCCAGAATTCATCAGACAAGGCCTCTTGTATAGACTTTGGTTCAATCATCGACACAAATGCAGTATGAGAGGGTAAAACTTTAGATCTAGTGAGCATACCTTTGTCAATGGGGCCAATTATTTGGGCAGGAGGGTGTCGTTTGGTGATGTAAGCTGGAGGTTGAGTCTCAACAGTAGTTGAGCTTGCTCCCACTCTTCTGCCAGACAGGGATGAACTACTATTCTCCTCATTATTTTGCACCTCCTGATCCAAAGGGTTTGGATCTGCATTTCCTCTCGATTTCTCCTCCTGAACTTGGTGCTCTGAATTCTTGTCTAAGACCAGGGGTGATGACCTTCCGAGACCAAAATCATCATCATCAAAAACATATGTAATCTCAATAGTATCTTCATCAAATACCACATTAATGGACTCCTCAACTTTGAGGGTCCTTTTATTAAAAATTCTATAAGCCTTGCTAGAATTTGAATACCTCAAAAACACAGCTTCATCCGATTTTGCATCAAACTTCCCAAGATTGTCCTTTGTATTCAAAGCAAAACCTTTACACCCAAAGGTACGAAAGTACCCCAGATTAGGTCTTCTACCTTTCCAAATATCATAAGGAGTTTTATTTAGACCAGACCTAATTAAGGCTCTATTGACTACATAGCATGCTGTATTAATGGCTTCAGCCCAAAAATATTTTGGAATGTCATAGTCATGAAGCATAATGCGTGCAATGTCAATCAAAGTCCTGTTTTTCCTTTCTACTACCCCATTTTGTTGAGGGGTTCGTGGGGAAGAAAAGTTGTGGAATATTCCTAGTTCATCGCAAAACACTTCAAAGAGATCAGAAGAGAATTCCCCTCCATGGTCACTTCGAATGCTGTATATTTTTGACATTGTTTCATTCTCAATACGTTTAAGTAGGATCTTAAAGTTTACAAGAGCTTCATCCTTTTTGGCCAAAAACAGGACCCATGTAAATCTTGAGAAATCATCAACTATCACAAAAGCATATGATTTACGCCCATAACTTACTACATTTGTGGGTCCAAATAAGTCTAGTTGTAAAAGCTCCAAAGGTCTAGAAGTAGAGATGACTGGTTTACTTTTGAAGCTAGTTCTGGTTTGTTTTCCTTTTGCACATGCATCACAAAAGAATTCATGTTTCTCATTCTTTCTGGGCAGACCCTTAACCAACCCCAAACGCGCTAATTTGGATAAAGTGCTAACGTTCACATGCCCTAGACGTCTATGCCAGTCTTCTTGTGGATTTCTGTTCAAACTCACTAGGCAAGTTTCACTGAAGCTGTCTTTATCATTAAGATCAATAGTATATATCTTACCATTTCGTTTCCCAGTGAACAGGATTTGTTTTGACTTCATGTTTTCAACATAACAGCAGTTTGGTTCAAAAATCACTCGGTTCTCCTTACCACACATCTGAATAATCGACATTAGGTTGTGTTTTAAGCCACTAACTAGCATTACATTTTTTATTGAGGGGCATGATCCTACCTGACCTTTCCCAATAATTTCATCATAATTATTATCACCAAAAAATACTTTACCGAAGCTTCCTAGCTCAAGACTTGAAAATAAACTTTGTTACCTGTCATATGATGTGAGCAACCACTGTCCATGATCCACTTAGAGGTCTCCATGCTCACTTGGAGACAACACTGCACACACATAAGTCAAGTTGTTTTTCTAACCCAGACTTTCTTGGGTGGTCTTGAAGGAAACTTATGCCAATTAGAAACTCTTTGTGAGTAATCAAGCATATTGATTTTACTTTTCCTACTTTCTGATCTTAATCTCCTTTTACAATCTCTTATAACATGACCAAACTTGTGGCAATAATAGCATTCAACTAGCTTATGGTGTTCACCCCTGTTAATATTCTTCAGCTGATCGAGGTACCTTTGAATTTGACTCTCAAGTTTTTTACATTCTAGCTGATAATTGTCATTTTCCTTTTTCGTGATTGACAAGCTAACCTCAAGACTCTTTTCTCTTAGTTCACTTGCGAATTATAAGTTCTCAAGTTCTATTATTCTCAGGATATTGCTCTCATTTTCTTTCTTTAAGAGTGAATACTTTGATTTAACGTTTCCAAATTCTAGTTGAATTTCCCTAATGCTGTCAACCATCATGTCATCATCACTTTCATACTCAATTAGTGATTCAGAGATACTTACCTGCGTGGGACAACTCCTTGAGGCCTCTTCCTCTTCTTCTTCCTTTTCTTCTGGAATCGCCATGAATGATCTGTGCACTGTTACTTCCTCATCCTCATCTCTTTCATCTTCACTGCCACTCCAAGTCGCAGCATATGCTTTTTCTTTCTTTAGTTGAGGACAATCAGCTTTGATATGTCCTGATCTCCCACATTTGAAGCATCCTGTTGTATTTACTCCTTTGAAATTTTGTATACCTTCATTTCTTCCTCGAGCAGCTGTTCTTAGTTGCCCAGATTTTGTACCTCCTTCATTTCTCTCAAACTCTCTAAGTTTAGGCCCTCCAGACTTCTTCTCTTTTCTAATTCTGAGAAGTCTACTAATCTGTTTACTTAGAAGAGGAAGCTCTTCATCTTCCATGTCGTCTAGATCTTCAGGTTCATCCATCTGACTTGTAGCTTTGAAGGCAATCCCTCTTTTTCCTTTGTCACTGATGTCCTTCTCTTGCCCAGATTTGTTTAGCTTATCTTCGTGGGTGGCTAGTGACCCTATGAGTTCATCAACTGCAGTTTCTCCAAATCCTTGGCTTCCTCAATTGCTGTTACTTTTGGAGTCCATTTTTTCTGGAAGACTCCACAATATCTTTCTAATCAAATCACCACTCTCATAAGTCTTGCCCAGGTTCTCCAAGCTGTTCCCTATATTCGTGAACCTCTCATACATTTGTCGAATGGACTCTCCTTCCTCCATCTTAAATAATTCAAATTGATGCTTCAGGGAATTGATCCGAGAAGTTTTAACTTGTGATGTACCTTCATAAGTTACTTGTATTTTTTCCCATATCTCCTTGGACGTCTTGCACCCAGCAACCTTGTGATACTCTTCTGGTCCTAAGGCACAATACATTAGATTTGTGGCCTTGCAATTTTGCTGAAACTTCTCGTAATCTTCTTCAGTCCATTTATCTTGATCAGCTTTGAGTTCATGTGGCCCTTTGATTACTCTTGCCATAGCTTTGGATCAGTTGATCCAACGAACAATTCCTTACGGTTCTTCCAGTAACCATAATTGACTCCTTCAAAGCGCGGAGGTCGATTCTGTGAAAAACCACCAACAAGGT